GGAATAAATATGTAGTTATCTTGACATATTTTCAAATTGATTATGCTCAAATGTAACACCACCAAGTTTCTGATTCGTAACTGAAATCTCGATGAATTTGAGCCGTCAATATTAAAGCCTTCGCAGTGGTCACCTTGATTTTGGAAAGAAAAAAAAGAGAGGAGAAAACAAATAGTATCTACTTGGAAGTTTTGGAGCCTAGTGTTGATCTTGGCGTTTGCCAGGTTGTCGGAGATACGCGGAGTGATGATGTCAACATTCATTTGATGTCTTAAAAACCTGTCCCACGTTCCTTTACTCATATTTTCTTGTTAATAATTTTAAATTTGCATTATTTATGGTTTTACAGTTATTTCTCTAGGAACTCACTGTTTTGATTTTATTTATTATTACAGATAATCATTAAGGACGTTTGGAAAGAATACACAGGATGGCCATTGAACGACATGGAGAGACAGTACAAGTTCATGGTGAAACATGTTGGTCTTTGGTCTGTCGCATTTCATGGTACCTCTCCCAAATGGATTCACAGAAGTTATCTCAGCGCTCTTGCCGCTTACTATGCCAAGTACATACATCTTAACCACTCTATTTTTCCTTATGATCTCCTTTAGTTTCACAGGATTATTTATATAATAGTGGAGTTTTTTTTTTTTTTAATGTACAGAGAAATAGAGGCCGGTTTAATGGAGTACAAACCGGACATTATTATTAGCGTACATCCTATGATGCAACACATCCCATTGTGGGTAATGAAATGGCAAGGACTTCATAAGAAAGTCATTTTTGTGACGGTCATCACTGATCTAAACACTTGCCACCGTACATGGTAAGATGATGTATAATCTTTCATACTAAATAAGTAAATAAAATACTATGTTGGGGTTTCAAATATTAAGTAACTTTTGTATAACAATAAATGATAAGTCTAATTTCAATTCGTCCAAATATTTAAAAATAAACCTTATATGAAATCTCAAATTTTAATGTAACCAGGTTCCATCATGGAGTCAGTAGATGTTATTGCCCTTCCAAAGAGGTTGCAAAGAGAGCATTAGTAGACGGTCTTGGAGACTCTCAGATTCGTGTCTTCGGCTTACCCGTCCGCCCATCATTCTCTCGCACTATTGTCTACAAGGTAAACTCTATCCAATTGATACCACTTGGCGATTTTGTTTTTTCAATCAATAGAGGATCAATTATTATGTTTTTTTTAGGATGAGCTAAGGAGAGAACTTGAAATAGACTCAAATTTACCTTTGGTTCTATTGATGGGAGGTGGCGAAGGAATGGGTCCTGTTAAGAAAACCGCTCAAGCCCTTGGGGATTCTTTATATAACTCTAAAGAAAGAAATCCAATAGGGCAATTGATTGTCATATGCGGTCGGAACAAACTCCTTGCTTCTGCGTTGACATCCCAAGAATGGAAGATACCGATCAAGGTAGGTTAG